CCCATCCCCTTGCTGCCCCCTCCCCACACCCCGACTCCCTCTCCCCACTCTGCTGCTTTCACACACCCTCCCCCAACTCTGAGACCACTCCCTCCCCCATCCCCTGGCGAAGGGCTTGTTGGGGGTGTGTGTGGGGGTGGGATTTCAGGGACAGGCTGGATCGTTTTGCCAAATTGTTCTGGGTCTCCGTTCCAATCTCTGGACGGTTTTCACAGTCTGGCAGTTTCCCCTGAAATTTTTTGTCTTTGCTCCCAGTCAGAACAAGCTGCAACTAGCAATCAGTTTTAATGACTTGTGGAGTTTTGGAAGGATTCCCACAGATTAATCGCCCTCTCCCCAGTGGCAAATGTACATCATCAAACAGGCTTCACTCACCCTCAGCCCTGGATCACCGACTGGTCCCGGAGGTCCTGGGGGTCCAGAGCGTCCGGGACTTCCCTAGAAAGAGTCACATAAAGACACGTCACAGACTTGGAACCCCAGAGTTAGCCCTCCCTGAGTGAGTGAGGGAGGGCAGGTCGAAAGAATACCAAACAATTATTAACCAGAGGACAATTTAAACATTCTCATTTAAAATTTAAACTCTGCATGTGTTAGTAATTCGAAAAGAATGTACTTATAAATACATTCAGAAAAATACAAAAAATAACCCCAATATGTCCTCAGGGTTTCACAACATGTGACTCACAGATGGTCCTTCTCTTCCCGGGGGCCCTTCGATCAGCATTCCCTAGAACAAAGGAGAAAAAGCACAGAATTATTATCAAACTATACATTCAGACTGTCCAACACATCAGATGGTCAACGTGGAACATGACAATTGGGGAATGTAAAACACAGAGAGAGACAGACAGACTTTCACAATCACAAGTGACTGACACTCCTGTTAATCCAGCTCCCTCACACTGTCACTCAGTAACCCCTCTCCCCACTCCCCTCCAGCGCCCTGTGGTACTGTCTGTATCTCTGCGAATGTTAATCCAGCTCCCTCGCACTTTCAGGTTTTATAAATCTAGGGAGTATACATTCCTGGGAAAGAGAATCCCAATACAGTCGCCAAACAATGTCATTTTAAATTTTATGGCAATGATTCGTCCTGTTTCTTTGAGAGGGGTATATTTTCTTCAGGGTTCCATTCTGCAAAACCTCTTTCCTTTGTTGGCTGCCAACATCATCAAAGACCCCTTCCACCTGGTAATGCTCTACTACAATCACTTCCACCAGGCAGAAGATACAGAAGCCTGAACACACGCACCAGCAGGTTCAAGAACAGTTTCTTCCCTACCGTTATTAGACTGATGAATGGTCTGTCTAACTTCAAATGATACTGATCTTGTTAATGTTGATCATGCCTAGCGCATGCCCTGTGTGATGTAACCTGTATGCCTCTAAGTTCTTTTTCACTCTGTGATCTGGATGTCCTTGCTTACTATGATCTGCCTGTACTGCTCGCAAGCAAAGCTTTTCACTGTACTTAGGTACACGTGACAATAAATCAAATCATACCAAAGGAGCCCAGGGCTAGGGGCAGAACGTTCCGAGCTGGACTGTTCCAGGTGACGTCAGGAAGCATGTCTCCGGGAATGAGAATCTGGGACTCTTTCTCTCTCTCTTTCCCCAAAGCACTCCGGGTCTCGGGGTGAATTGAAGTGATCGAGACTGGGATTGATTGATTGATTGATTGGATTCGGGGATGAAAGTGTTCTGGAACCATTGGTTAATGGAGTTAAGACACAGGTCAGCTGTGAACTACTGCAGGTTCAGTTGATGGTTAAGAAACAATTGCATTGTTAGTATTCATTTCCAGCAGGCTGGAATACCAGGGCAGGAATGTACTGCTGAGGCTGTATTAGGCTCTGGTCAGACTGTGTTTGTAATATGGTGAGCAGTTTTACGTCCTGTATCTAAGGAAGGAAGTGCTGGCAATGGAAGGGGTTCAGAGGAGGTTTATGCCAAGAACGATCCAGGGGATGAAGGGCTTGTCATATTAAAAGTGATTGAGGTCTCTGACTCATCGAGTCATACAGCACAGAAACAGACCTACGGTGCAACTTGTCCATGCCAACCAAGATTCCCAAACTAAACTAGTCCCCACTTGCCTGAGTTTGGTCCATATCCCTCTAAACCTTACTTATCCATGTATCTGCCCAAATGTCTTTTAAATGTTGGAACTGTACTTGCATCTACCACTCCCTCTGGCAGCTCATTCCACATACAAATCTTCCTCTGTGTGCAAAAAGGTTGCCCCTCTGGTCCCTTATAAATCTTTTTCCCCTCACATTAAAAATGGCATCTAGTTTTGAACACCC